AATGGCCGAATGGACGGATTCCCTACGTGCTTTCTCCAGCTTACAGTAAGCAATCCCGATTTTATTTTAGAAAAAGTGCTATTTTTTATACGTTTGTGCGTTTCATACAAGTGTTAGACCGCCATTTGCTTACTGACTTGCAAACACCTGTCCTTCACGAGGTTTCTAGGAAGGAGTAAGCTGACAGCGGTTTTGACTCCCTGACACTTCTAGTTCATGGCGAGTATTTGCTTTAGGCACTACCTCATAATATGCATTTTTTCACTTCCAATTCGTATGATAACTGTATAGAATTTCAGAATTTTTTCAGTTGATTCCAGAAAGCCTACTTTTCTGTTTTCGGGGATAGCCACACATTAAAAGAAAGTTTTCTAGCAATCTAAACAGTTTGCTCGAAAACTGCGATAGCATCAGCTATAAAAAGTCACAGTTTGCTCGGAAACGAGACTCGGAGACTCTAAAAAATTTTTGAAAATTTCAGCTCTCTCACAACGCGCCGTAATCGCTCGCGCCATCGCCGCATACACAACGAGAACATGCATTAGATTTACACCACGCCAGCATTACGACACAGATTATATTATTATCGCTAAAATCGATGGGTACGCAAATTTTAATGTTTTTCTTTGTAAATTTCATAGAACAATAACACAGCTACACATAAAAGCCAGTGACTAATCGGGATTTTTCCGAACCTCGGAAAAATGGCCATTTCTACGCATTCCCCTTGTTTTGGTGTTTTTATCAGCCAGCAGCTTTCCTAATCACTTTGGCTGCACTGTCTGGTAGTGAGCCACAATCCTGACATTCGTTTTGTCTCCTGAAAATCCTACAAATTCCACGATTTGACCGACAAATGCGCTTGATAAGGCTTTGACCGTTTTTAAAATATTCCTAGTGTGTGCTGGACATCACCACACCAGCTGGGATGTTGCCATTTCTAGACCACAGTGAGGTACCTTTGACGACGAGAAAATCCTAAAATACTGGTGTAAGAGATTATGTGGCCGGCTTAGTGTAACAATAAATGACGCCTTCTGTTTGACTTCAGTCTGCTGCTTTGAGCATGCAAGCTGCTGAATCTCTTTTAGATGCTTCTGCTGGTCAGGCGGTCAAACCGTCTGTTGCAAGCTAACGTTTTATATATATATATATATATATGCTCAGAAGATTTCAGAGCTCTAGCTGTTTTGATCACGGAGTTACGTCACATTTCACGTGTTCGTACGTGAGGCGTGCGAGAGACATGAAAGAAACGTGCAATTTGTTTTCACGTCCACCAAGCCGAATGCCCTTTTCGGCTACGCCCAAAAAGTTCCAACAAACATCAACTTTTTTCTTAGATCGAAGTTCTGGGGTCAGATAATCCCATCCGTGTCATTTGAAGGAACCATTGATGACAGCTGTGTGGTTGCTATTGGCGAAATTTCGTCATTTGCGAATACTTCTGTCATTCACGGGCATGCATTTTTTCAGGTGTTTCGCGGACTTTGCTCGAGTCGGTGGGCCACAGCAGGTATCACTGGCTGATGAGTGTCTAAGCTATGGAACAGTAATCCACGAATTGATGCATGTAGTTGGCTTCATCCATGAGCACCAGCGCAATGATCGCGATTTTTTCGTCGATATTTTATGGCAAAATATCATACCAGGTTCCGCAGAAACCATTATTTCCCATGATATCTGATCCATCAGTTTAGGCTCATTCCAATATTTTTTGACCAGATTGGGATATTAGACCAAAAATGAATTCCGTTTTTATGCGTTTTGTGCAGCTATGCAATGCAGAAAACGCATATTGACGAGAGGTTGTCTGTGTGTGGGTGTGTCTGTGTGTTCGTCTGTACCGATTTTTCATCTCGAGACCGGCAGAAGCTGCGGGGCTGAAACTTTGGGGGCATAATCTACATGCACGTACGGGCCCCCATCCACAAAATTGGCGTCAAAACC